GTTGTGCTTGGTGCGAGCTTTAATATTCGGTCCCGGCCTACATCCCAACCCATCAGGTATTTCTGTCCTTGAAGTGATTAAACCAAAAAGAGACGCTTGAAATGCTAGCTGTAAACCAATTGAAGCGAAAAGTAACAGCCGTGTTCCTTAGTACAAAGCATGGGCATTCCTCGTACCTTTGGCGAGTCGACACTAATTACGAGGGTCTTTTCACTATCAGTGAAAGCAGGACAGTGGGTACGGCCGCGGGTAGGCAGCTGTTTGGGTGCGGTAGCCCGTCAGAGGCCGAACGAGAAAGAAGGTTGACTCAAGACCTTTGTTGATTAGAGAGTGAGAGACATGCGGTAGGCAACACCATCGCCATGCAGCATGCCCATCAACACATTTCATCCGCGTATCCCCCGGAGGTCCCGTAGACAGTATACTCTGCCGAGCACCCCAAACAGCCCCCCTGCTCGGTACGAGATACGATCTACGAAATCCTCGTCACGACTATCATTGCCAGTTAAAACGGCGATAAATCAAACTACGCATCCACACGGAAATCGTCCACCATTCATTCCAATTCAAACAATTTCCCAATAAAACAATGTTCTACGAAATCTGTCGATCTCCCAATAAAACATGCTCTACGAAATCTTTCAAATCTTCTGATGATATCAAATTACTATCTCCTAAAAGGTCTGTCAATAAACAATTCACCCTCTTGAGAAAAATGCTTTACCAAATTCTCAAGAAGTCGAAACACAAACAAATACCCTTGGAAAAATACCCAGCAAAGACACACATTACATCAGAATCACGTCAGAACGGGGACGGGTAACTCCGGAAAAATGTGTCCAACGTCCTGACTTACTCAGAACAAATTCCTCAGATAAACATTCATGTTTCAACTCATTGACCAGCTCAAATAACCTTCGGAAGCACAAAGGCTTCAACCATGACTTACGAGAACATGCCAAATCCTTCCTCCAATACCCAATACCTTGACAAACATACCAGTCCAACAGCCTCCCTGCTGTAACACCCATCCCAAACACGAAGAAACCAAACAAACAAGTCCGAAACAAACATGAAGAAACCAACAAATCCAAAACAGACAATCAACAATCCCGCATCCCCCCTGCTGGGACATCTCATATAAACGCAACGAAAATCCCATTCAATATTCAATTCCATGTCACCTCCGCAGGTAAAACGCGGAAAACGATCCAGACATGAAGTACCCTCAGCCAACATCAATTCCATATAAAATCCCCAGGGAAAACACGGAAAATCTCAACATGAACTACCAAACCCGATGTCAGAAACACTGCTTGTTGTGCTGCGGCGGACAGCATGGTATCACATTCCCCCCCCCATGATTTCCGACAGCAGTGCAACAATCAGGCGTGATTCCGCAAAATCCAGCATGCCAATTCTGCATCCAACTTCATCAACTCCAAACCGAAACAAGAAAACAAAACATATCAAAGAAAAGGCGTCACACGTCCAGCACATACCAGCCTGCCGTACAGGCCTACTTGGAAAGGAAATTGGTATTCCGCAAGGATTGACTCGTCGGGTACCCGTACATCGGGGGGACAGAGAAACGGTGCGTGTCCCCCAACGTCTTTACCCAGCACGTCGAACGCCAAGCCAATGCCTACTACATACATCCAGTACCATCAGAAAAACATAGAGAGAATGTGATCCCAACAAAGAAGGAAAACCAAAGTGGAACAAACCGTACGCAGAAATAATACTACCACCGCCATTTGAGATATTGTCTTGACAAACAACAGCCCCCCGGCCGCAACATTCCATTTGTCTCCCAGAAAAACAACAATAATCAGCCATGGAAATTCCCTGCCATTTGGCCGTGGAAATTAGTGTCCCTGCAAAGGTAAAACGCGGGTGGGCATCTCTACAGAACAAAACAAAAACAAATCCAAACCTGCAAATGTGCCAACGATAGGAAAAATGATTTGCAGACGGTGAAAAATGCAGCATTGTATCTGAAGATCAAAACACAAGAACAACATCGTGCACAAAACAAATTTCAGAAAAATGACAAGAATACGCAAACAAACGTCACGTGCCTTGGCGAGTTTAAGACCCCAGCAGAAGTCGCGCTGCTTGCCGTCATTGTTGGACTCGCCCGATCCTCCGAACTCCTTTCCCCGCTTCATGATCCTCCTGTCGTTGCTCCGGTCGCGAACACGGGCTCCCCGGCCGTTGCCCACGCGACATCTTTCCACGGTCGAACGGGGTGTCCATCCCCATCACCAGCCCCACTCTCCCAGCCTTCAGCCGGCACAGCTTCCCCGGGTCGAAGGGGCGCAGCAGTGCCCCAAACCAGGCCACATCCATCCCCTCTGCCTCGTCGTTGCTACTGCTGCCGCTGCCGCTGCTGCTGCTGCTGCTGCTGCTGCTGCTGGAACCATCGACCAGGTCGTCCACCCCGGGATAGTTGGCGCCGCGCACCCCCGAACACACGGTGCCGGGATCGAAAGGGTGCGTGGACGCCCCCCTCTCGCCACAGACGCTGTCATCCCAGCAGCCATCAACCTCACCTGCGCACCAACCGCCATCATCGCTGCCGTCGTCGATGCCGTTGACCACCGCTTCTCCGTTGCTGGCCGCCCCCCCAACCGATATGGTGGGGGAAACGTTACCGACGGTTGCCATCGTAGCGGCCGGTGCCGTCGCCGCGGTCGCGGGTCGTGCCGTCACCGATGTCGCCACTCCAGCCGCCGATGCCGCCACTGCAGCCACCTGCGCGGGCTCTCGAGCCATTCTCCCCGCCGCCACAGCGGGAGAAACAACACCGTCGGGTGCCGCCGCCGTCGCCGCTGGAACCGCCGTCGATGCCAACGCTCCAACCACCATCGCTCCGGTTGTTCTCCCCGCCACCGTCGCGGAGATAACAGTGTCGCCGGGCACCGCCGCCGTCGCCGCTGGAACCGCCGCCGATGCCGCTACTCCAGCTGTCGCCGCGAGCCCTCCGCGCGCTTCCTCCGCCGTCGCTGCGAAGGTAACACTACCGCCGCCGTAGGTCGCCACCGTCGCCTCTGGAGCTGCTGCCGATGCCGCCGCTCCTGCCGCCACTGCAGGGACCCCGGCAATTCCCCCCGCCGCCGTCGCTGCGAGGGAAACACTACCGCCGCTGTAGGTCGCCGCCGTCGCCTCTGGAGCTGCTGCCGATGCCGCCGCTCCTGCCACCATTGCAGGGACCCCGGCAATTCCCCCCGCCGCCGTCGCGGCGACAACACTACCGCCGCCGTAGGTCGCCGCCGTTGCCGCTGGAGCTGCTGCCGATGCCGCCGCTCCTGCCGCCACCGCGGGGACTCCGGCCACCCCCCCTGCCGCCGCCGCGGGGAAAACACTGCCGCCGGAGATCGCCGCCGTCGCCGCTGGAGCTGCTGCCGATGCCGCCACTCCAGTCGCCAACGCAGGCGCTCCGGCCATTTCTCCCGCCCCAGCAGCGGGGAAAACATCATCGCAGACACTGCCACCAGCGTGAACCATGTCCACAGAATCATTCCATCCAAACCATCCGTCATCATCACCGTCCACGGCGCCGCCAGCGTGAACCACGTCGACGAAATCAGAGCGGTACTCGCTCTCTGCCATCACCTCGCCGCCAACGTGAACCAGGTCGACAAAATCAGAGCGGTACTCGCTCTCTACCACCACCTGCTGCTGTACGACCGAGCTTCCACCGATGTCCATGCAGCTGCCGCCGCCATTGACGCCCATCCAGCAGCCACCGCGGACGATACGGCCGTCATCCTCGCCGCTGCTGCCATGAAGATGCACGGCGCAGTTCCACCACATATGGCCGTACTGACCACAGGCGCCACACGTACCCTCGAACCTGCGGGGTGCGGCGCATTCTTCTCCGTGGTGGCCGTTCCTGCCGCACCGAGTGCAATGGTATACCGTACCAGGCGGAGGGGGTGATTCCTGCTGGAAATACACGGCGTTGCTCCCGCAGTCATATATCCCACCAACTCCGGTTGGCGGCAGCTGCTGTTGCTGCCGCGCCAACTGCTGGTGCTGCCGCGCCTGGTGGCTCTGAGTGAAAACGCAGTGTTGGTTCTGCTGAGGGACAAAACCACCACGAGAACACTGCTGTACCTGCGATGGCTGCTGCTGCCATTGAGCACTCCATCGCTGCTGCTGTTGTTGTTGTTGTTGTTGCTGCCGCCTAAGTCTCTCCTTCTCATAACTCGGCAGCCTCCGCAGCTCTGAGCACCTTCACCAGCCTCTCCACCTCCGACTCGGCAGCTCGTAGCTTCTCTGCTGCATTGCGCGACCTCTCCTCCATCTTGATGCGCACAACTGTAGTCTCCTCCCTTTGCGAATCTCTTCCTATTCCGCCGCTTCTCTCCGCCATAGTCTACACTTGAAAAATATCCCGTACCCTGCTGTCCCAGCCCTGAAGCGCTGTCCCAGCAATACACCCCCTGCTGTCCCGGTCCCCGATGGCCACCGTCCCAGCTATACACTACCCGCTGCCGTGCTGTCCCGTCCCCGTTGGCCACGTCCCAGCTTAGCTATATATATCGTATTCGCCGCCCCATTGGCCCGGCACATACAGCTCAGACGCCAATACCCACTACCAACACCAGGCCATACAATATATTGTGTTTGGGTGCGGTAGCCCGTCAGAGGCCGAACGAGAAAGAAGGTTGACTCAAGACCTTTGTTGATTAGAGAGTGAGAGACATGCGGTAGGCAACACCATCGCCATGCAGCATGCCCATCAACACATTTCATCCGCGTATCCCCCGGAGGTCCCGTAGACAGTATACTCTGCCGAGCACCCCAAACAGCAGCTCATAGCACGACTCTACGGCCGGACAACACACGCTCAAGCCCATGCCCATTGGCCGGCACAAACATGTAACGACATAATCAATACCAAATGAAGACAATGACCTAGAACGTCTCCACAACGCCCCCCAAGCTCAGAAACCCTCGGGGCCACAACCTGGATGTTGCAACAACAACAACAACAACAACAACAACAACAACGACCACGACCATGACCACAACGACAACGACGACAACGACGACAACAACGACAGCACAACGATGGCGCTGTGTGTCTACACACCTCGCACGAGAAAGGGTTCCACGCCTTGGGGTAGTAAGGGGTTATCTCCAGGCAAGAGGCTCCCGTGCTCTCGTAGGAAGAGGAGGCGTCTAGTCCCTCCCCCCAGTCCTGAAAACTCACGGACGCGTTGAAGTCTCCGGGCGTAAAGCCGGCCAGGGAGTCCCGCCAGCTCCACGTACCGTCCTCGGATGCCTTTTGCAGTCCTAAAGGCATGTGTTGATGATGCAAGAAAACACGTGCGTCTCATTTTCGGAAATGCAACGCCAAGAGATGGCCATGATAAAATCACAAATTCTACGTACGTTGGTAGAGGTTAACCATCCAGCCTTCTGTCGAACATGGTTGAGGTAGGCCCCCCTTCCACGGCCGCGGTAAAAGGCACACCAGCTGGCACGTTTCCGTGTGTGTTAGGCTCGGGGTTTACCGAGACAACATTCCTTGCACAATCAGCGGTGCAACATTGTACCTACACCTAGGTTCCTATGTTCCTATAGGGGGCGGCGAACGAAAGTGGTGAGAGCGGGTGGATGGGTTCGACGCCAGTACCCCCATGTTCTTTGTGGCGTGCGCAGATCAGGGCGGAGGAGGGAGGACAAAAGCTGGGTATTAATGCTCTCGATTGCGTATCACATCACTCAACGCCATCCTGGTGCACTGTAGGCAGGACAGCGTTCGTATGAGGTGCGAGACTCTTCAGGGGGGCACGAAGTCTTGCCTGGAGCGCCGCCCGGAACAAGGAAAAGCTCACCTGTGTACGCCTCGCCAAGGAAGCCAATCCACAGCAGGTTGTGAGTGACGAAGTCATTCTCGGCCTCGCTTTCTAGGCTCACGAGCCTCGCACCCACCTCCCCACACCTGCAATTGAGCCCAACGTCGTCACCCCCGTTTGTCAAGAGAAACCGACGTGAACGAAAACGCGATTAACAGCCACAGAAATTCTCGTGAATGCCAATTCTTGCCGGATTAGGGGCGCCCAAAAAAAACAGCTACGGCGATCTGGTGGTCTTGCCAGGAAAGCCCATCATCAGTCCTCTGAGAAACCTCTGTCTATTCACCTAGCGTCCGCATCCTCCCAGTTAACTGCCGCGTCCAAGTATGAGCTCTTGGAGTAGCAGCTGTTCTCGAACGCGAGCCACACGCTGTCGCTGTCGTCATTGTCGTCGTTGTCGTCGTCGCTGTGACGGCAGTCGGCTGATAGCACCTCCTGGTAGGACACAACGCCCCCTGGCGGAGTCCCGTAGAAATCAGAGACGGATTCGGGGCAAGGGTCTAGCTCCATCTCGAAGAACTTGCTGAACACCGAGGAATTCCACTGTGATGCCGGCGGGTCATCGGTTGCGGTTGTGCTGCTGCTGGTGGCCTGTGGCGTTGGTTCGCCCGTTTGGGACGACAACATTCAGCATGATGACACACAACTACTTTGGGGTGCCAGGGGAGAAGGAGGATATACTCGAGGGGGTAGAAGAAGTCATCTCCTGGACTATATGGACGCTCGATCACTACGCAACAGGGAGGGTGGCGATACCGAGCATGTTGGCTTTGGGAGGATCTCTGTGGGAGTCGCGCTTCCGTATTTTGTGTTGGTCGGCTTTACCACCCGCACGACCTACTCCTACACATTATCACGTACGAAACAACGTGCGAGCACACACGTCACCACCGGAGTCAGAAAGCGGGGAAAACCCTGCCACAGAAAGAAGTGATGGGACTGCAAACTAAACCACAAACGTATACAACATCAGTAGCACCAGATGTTACAGTAGTTCACGCACCGGTAACGGAGAATGGAATGTATCCACAGACAATCTATTTTGTCAAAAAAACACCGGCCAGAGAAAGACAACGAGTGCACAAGTAACACATGGTCTAAGGACGAGATGCGGACCTGCACAATGCACGTCTGGCACCCACTCTGCTCTTCGATGAGCGTAGACCAGCACCCGCCGCGGCTAGTAGTCATCGACCGGCTTGTACAGCCGCTGAAAAACGCCCCTTTCCCCCTCCTTCGGTCTTCAATCGGCACCAGCGTCGCGCATTCTTCAGTGGTCGACGCGGCCAGGACACCTGTGACTGCATTTGTTGTGTTTTTCGCGAACAAAATGCAAAGGCAGTTGGTCCGTCATATCAGATGACGGCGGAGGCCATTCGGATCTTTTTTTTTCTCGCGATCTTCATGGATGGCATGCCTCACCGATCTGTGTTCGTTGGCAGCAGCTGCAACCGACCGATACATACATTTTCGAGACGCCGTACGACCATACCTGAGCCCAGAACAACCGCGAGCACCACCGCGTTGCTTGCCGCAACACCACGCTGCACTTTCCGGCTGTGGTACATGTCGACTCGAGAGATGAATCCAACAGTGCGCCGCCGTATGGGTTGGGGCTATGTAAAACGGTGGGGCAGCGCACGAGTCCTATCGGACTTGAGGCCAAGTGATATGGCCCTTGTCAATGATAACGGGGGGGTTCAGGAGAGAGGAGAGAAAGGGAGGGAATTAGGGAGTACAGAGAGCGCGATGCGCGACGTGCGAGCACACAAGGGATTCATGTGCAACGGTTCGGGACGAAGAGCGTGATTGCGCCGCATCTCCGTAATCTCCGTAATCCGTTTTCCGGAGACTGGAGACTATCCGTCCTGCGCGTAATAGTACGCGTTTTCTTCGTTCGCGGTCACAGCATTACAGTAGTAAGCCCGATACATATTCCGCTATCCACCGATGTTTAGGGCTGCAAAAATCACGACTTGGAGAAATGCAGTGGCCGTGTCATGTGCCCTACACATTATACCGGTGCCTCAAATTGAAGAAGAGAGAGGTCTGCCGGACTGCTGTGTTGGCACCGAAAAACGATCATATCCTGCATGACGTTTACATATGTCGGTATAACTTCCGAAGAAACAATTGGCAGGGGGGAGTAAACCCGGTGGCGTGGCCGCCGTAATGTCGAAAATTCGAACCAATTGGCTGCTCATCGGTGGCGTATCCATGACGGTAGACGTTCAACACAGCAATCTACGATGTAGTGATCCTTTCGGACGCACCTCCGGTACCGAAAACGCACCCGTTCATATCCACACCGGTTGATTCCTTTGCGCCACGTAGCCGCGTGGGCCAACATGGGAAAACAACCGGAAAATAATAGTCGTACATAGACCCTCCCTGCGGCGGTGGGGTCGTATGGCACCTTCTGAGCTGGCGCTTGTATTGTGGGTCGCGGGGGTTCGATGCTTTCTGCTGCATCTAACGCCCCCACGAACAAACTCGCGTGACGAATGGTGTGCGCACATCTCTCCGCAACCAAAGAGTGAGTCGTGGTTCGGTCTTGACTAACTATTGTTGCAAAATATATATAACGGGGAGTACGGCATTGAACAAAGGCTTGTGCAGGAGAAAAAGAAGATTGTACGATTGCAGACAATGACTGGACGTCGAGAGGTGAGGTCATTGACGCACGCCTTTTCTTAGCATGGGTCAGAGCAAACCGACAAAATCTTACGCTTGACCCCCCGGGCGACTTGAACACAAAGTGCCCCATCCCCCAAAATAATAGAAGAAGGACCTCCCAGACGGAGAAAAAGTGAACAACAGCAGTGTGCGCACAGCTGTATCATTCACCGAGGGGCCGAATTTCTTGGCCATTATATCGCGACTGTGTGCCAGAAAACTAAAATATCTAGCGGTCGGACGTGCTACAACGACGAGTCTCATACAATACAGTGGTACACAGCAGTCGTACAATGTACGTGCTCCCGATAAAAAAAGCGCAACAACATCATCGTGGGTCGAGCTACCCTGACTTGAGTAGAGACCCGCTGGCGCGAACAAAACCATGCAGCAGGTGGGGCTCGAAGGTTGAGAGGGGATCGCAAGGGAGTTCAAACCTTGAGCCAAACAATGCATCGGCCACTTCACGTTGCAACGAGAGTCGGAATGACGCTGTACAGGAAATGACTAAAAGTTTCGAACTGTGGTTGCCGACAAAACCTCAATGCAGACAAAGGCAAAAAAGCAGAGAGGTAGGCTGGATTTTCCCGATACGGCAAGGATGGCATCGAATAACACATTGGCGATCGTACACGCAGATGGGCCAGGTGTATCCTCAAGGTCGTGCTTACTGCTACGTCTCATCGTGTACGCAGGGACGAAAACCAAGAGTCACGACTCTCGGGTGTGGCGCGCAACACAACGAACAGACACACAGGCCGCCGTTAGCATGCCACAAGGCAAACCAATCGGAGATCGTACGACGAAGCATTCCACACGGCAAACCAATCGGAGATCGTAGGCCGAAACCAACAACCAAGATTGCGCCCAACAACACCGGGGAGAGGGCGGCCGAGCCAGAGACGACTCCCCCCTTCGTCCCATTTCCCCGCCTGTCCCAGCCCAGCCCTCCTGCTCCTTCTCCACCACGCGGTCCCCCGTTTCGCAAATGTTGAGAGCGCGGAGGACACCGCCGACCGCCGTCGAGTAACGACTGCAGCGCTCAGAGATTAAACTCCCATCAAGAAATGGAGCGAGCTCTCAAGGAGCTTCCGCACCTCGCGGTGCTCTCTCCTGTCGCGGCTATCGCAATTCACTCCAGCACCCACCCAAACGCGGGAGCATCGCTTCGAAAATGGTCCGTCTTTCTCGTAAGCCAGCCCCGCCTTCTCCTTGAGCCAGTGCTTCCGCAGCCTAGAGGTGATTCCCCTCCTCTGTAAGGGTTTAAACCCCTGATCTAGACTGGCAGCGACTCCCTCGGCGCAAAAAACAAAATCTCCTCCAGTCCTCCCACCACCAAACGGGAGGCGTGCTCTAGGTGGATCTCCAGGCCCTGTTCTGACGGCTTCGACATACATCGATGGCGGCGTGTTGCTCTCTCGCGATGTCTTCCGGCTCCAGCATCGCACCACCGCAGCTAGCGTCCGTTCGATTGTGTCACCGGTCGTCCTTCCCGGTTCCGGCGGGGTCTGCAGCGGCGACGGCGGCTGGCCCTGCGGCCTTGACGAGCAGCCCGCTATCAGAAACAACGATACCCCGGCTTAGCAAGCTGGATTCGACAGGCACAGGTCGCAGCAAAGGTCGGGCGCAGTGTGGGTCAAAATCGGGGCGAAGGGGTAGGACCTCCCGCGTGGCGAGTATTTCTACATCCTTTTCGGCCGTAAATAGAGACGGCATGAGATACAACAACGGGAGGAGAATCGATTTCAGCTGCGAAGGGCAGTGACAACAAGCAGACGAGCGTGCTGCCTCCTTCGTATGCCCGGCTGCTCACTTGACAAAAAAGAGCCCCAAGAACACTCCGCAACAACCTAAAGTTGTCGATGACTCCACATTACTACAATAAGGAACCGCCACGGACGACGAACAATCGCGGTCGCCCAGGCGGTTCAGTTCGTAGCGCCATGACCTTCTGACGGATTGGACGTGAGTTTGAAATTTCGGCGCGGTCATATGAGCTAACATTTTCTCGCATCATCAGTCCAAGTTGAATTCGATAAATTCGTCTGTGCAAGCACACAAAAAGAAATCGGCTCCGCGGTCGACCGGGGCAGGGGACGGCGCCTGAATCCTTCTCGCTAGAAAATCAAGGCATGCGCCGCAGAAGGAAGGCGGAGGGAAAACAAGTCCTGTGTGGTCTCTTCGTGTGAACTCCAGCTGTGCTCCGGCTGGTACAGTACGTCCAAACATGCCGCGAGGTGTACCGAATGGCGTCCAGAAACAAGCGGGATGTCAATGCTGTACCACAGGAAGGTGCTTCGCAACAGGTACAGGGAAGCGAGCGTTGTGCGTAGGGCTGTGCTATCACACGCCATACTTCTGGTGAGGTGTGGTGACCACAACAAAGCCGCCAGCACCACGAGCCATAATACTCCAGCAAGCAACAGCAACACCAACATCGCCACCGACAAACTACCACAAGTCCGTACCTCAGCGACAAGTCTTCGTTCGTGAGCATCTGGCCCTCCTCTCCCAGCAGCTCGGCCGCCTCTCTGCCTTGCTCCCTTGCCTGCTGGAGGCGAACATTCCGAAAGATGGAGCTCTCGTGCACGATGCTCGCCACCAGATGGTCAGCCGCCAAGGACATCAACGTCACTCTGAAGGCAAACACACGGCCAACGCGAACGGCGTATTGAGCCGGGGGGTAACGTGGTGAATGCGGGGTAGAATAGGTTGCGCCCCGACTGTTACTGTACACATGCCGTATGCACTCGCCAGGCCGCTTGATTTCTTGCGCGGTGCCTTGAATGTTTCGGCAGAGCTGAGAGACAAACCCAAGAGGTAGAGACGATCATGTAGCGCGACGGAAAGCTGATTACTTAAATACTTCAAGTACCATATTTCTATTGTTGTGGTTGTTTTCAGTCACATATCCGCCAAAGTGTGAGCCGTCAAGGAACAAAAACGTACCCACGGTAACTCCGGATACGCCGTCTCGCGGTCGGACTGAAGTGCAAATCGCGGCAGTGTGAATGCGGACGGAGAAAAACTACAGCTCTAGGGCCGACACGTACATCCCTTTAGACTGACGTTTTTGAATTTTCACTCCAAACAGCGAACGTTTTGTCGGAACAAGTTCCAACCGTGTTGCTTACCAGACCAATATTGTAGGGAAGCTCTATTGACATACATGTACAAGTCCAAGACATGAAGAGTACCACAGGGCATCGGATGCTCTTCTCGGGTGTACCCACCCCTCTCCTCAGAAAATCACGCATGTACCATCCATCCCACTCTCACATCTGGCTGTTGGAGGTGGTCAGCCCCCCCCTCTGCAGGTGGAACCTGGTGGCCTCTCCGGGCACGGTAGACCCGTACTCGTCGACGGCCAGCATGAAGTCCCTCAGTTGCATCTCCTTCGCTCGTTTGTTGGCAGACGCGGCCATCGACCCCCTCGGTCTCTTCCCGGCGAGGCGGGGCGCTGCTGCGGCCTCGTTCTTTTGCGGCCCTTCCGCTTCTCCCCCGCCCCCTCCTGCATCACCTCCCTCTCCTTCCGCTGCTCCTCGTTCTCCACTTGCTCCTCCTTCTCCACTTGTTCTTCCTGCGGCTGTCGCTGGGACCGCAGCCGGTGGAGGCGCCGGCCCGTTTCCAGGGTGCCCAGCCACAGCCTGCGCCGGCGGCGCGGCAGAGACGTTTCCAGGGTGCCCACCCACAGCCTGCGCCGGCGGCGGGGCAGAGACGTTACCAGGGTGCCCACCCACAGCCTGCGCTGGCGGCGCGGCAGAGACGGTTCCAGGGTGCCCAGCCACAGCCTGCGCTGGCAGCACGGCAGAGACATGGTGCCCAGCCACAGCCTGCGCTGGTGGCGCGGCAGAGACGGTTCCAGGGTGCCCAGCCACAGCCTGCGCCGGCGGCGCGGCAGAGACAATACCAGGGTGCCCAGTCGCAGCCATCGCCGACGGCGCGGCAGAGACGGTTCCAGGGTGTCCAGCCCCAGCCTGCGCGGGCGGCGGGGCGGAGACATTTCCAGGGTGTCCAGCCACAGCCATCGCTGGCGGCGCGGCAGAGACAATACCAGGGTGCCCAGTCGCAGCCATCACCGACGGCGGCGGCGCAGAGCCGGCTCCAGGGTGTACAGATACAGCCAGCGCCGGCGGCGGTGCTGCCTTTGGAGCTACCCCGTGCACAACAGGAGGGGCGACCATGGCCATAGGCTGAGCGGTCACCGCTGGTGCCACCTGGCGAGCCGCATCGTAAGCGGGGTGCTGAACGCTTGCAGGGAGGTGAACGGGCGCCGGCGCCGGCGCCGGCGCGGCCGTCACCGCCGCTACAGGCGGCGCCACAGCAGCAGCACCGTACACCGCGTGCATAGAGGTTGCCGGACCTTCGCCGGTTCCCGCCGCCGCTGCAGCTGCCGCCGCCGCCGCTGCCGCCGCCACCACACCCGTCCCTCCCGCACCATGCCCCCCTGCATTACCGGTATTTTGTAAACCCTCTGGTGCCCCTGGTTGTCCTCCTTCTATCCCAGGCCAATGTACTGGGGCGCCTGCTTTTGGTATCGGTGGAGGGATAGGGGAGGTTGTATTTCTCGGTGCAGAAACAGATTCAAGCCCTGGGTGCTGACCAGCTGAATACGCCGCCGCTGCCGCCTGCTGCACCACCATGCCGTTATTACCAGGTCCTGGTGGTGGCGCCCCCATGCCAGGCGTCCGCTGTAGCATAGCCTGCTGTTGCCGCTGTTGCTGTTGCTGTTGCTGAGCTGATACAGGCAACCCGCCAGCTGTGAGTTGTCGTTCCATTACGACAGCGCGAAGCGACAGCTCCGCCGCAAACAGCCAGCAAGGTCGGGCTGGAAGGTGATAAACCCACAGCCGGGTTGGCGGGCGTGTTCAAGCTACTTTGCCTGCTGTGTGCGTCTCTCCTCTCCCAATGATGTGTCGCGAGCGTGTGCAAAACAGTCCGCAGGACGCAGGACGCAGGACGTACGTGAACGGGGCACGGCGGGCGAACACTATAACACTATAACGCCAGGAGAATGCGGGGGAAACCCCGACAAGCAAGTTCCACCGCGTTAGTTGTCCACAATACTAGGCGATGTTTCAAGGCTCCGGGGAGATCGTTGTGGATATCCGGCTCAAGCGCAAGGACAGAACCTATAGGCCCACTGTGAGTTCTCCCTCATTCCGCGCTCCGTACGCCGAAATCGCCTGAAAACCGCCATTGCATGCCGCTTGAAAATTGTCTCTCTTCTGCTGTTTTTCCTCCCAAATCAACACTTGATTCCATGAATAATGCATGCAAGTGCTTGGAGCATGCCAGTGGGGACGGTCGGATCGAAACAATTGTCCATGAGCTGCTGCAGCAGTATCTCAGCGTTGGCGCACAGTTTTGTGGACGCTTTTACTCATCGACGCCAACTGAGGGGAGTCCCCGAGGTCTGCTTTAGTGGAGGCCCCGTTGGTTGCCGAGGGCGCGGCTGTACCGCCGTCCCGACCGACTAGGAACCGCGGCACTGACGCTGCACTGTCACGAGTGTGTACGTTGCCGGTGCCAAACGTTGGCACTGTTGGAATCGACAACTGTGCTGCACAGAGACCCACCGATAGACGGAATTCTAGACAGATGATCTACACAGCCTCCACGGCAAGTAACCGCGTGTCAAATTGATTGCTCCGCGAAAGGATCGAACGAGTTCGTGAAACTACTGCTGGAAGTGATTTGTGTACATAGGTATGTGGGTAACAGCCTTTTTGCCAGCGGGCACGTGCTTCTTGTGCCCATTCCTCGCCAGGCACACAACTGGGTTGGGGATGTACGGCAGCCATCCTCGCGTTTTGCATATTGCACTGCTGTATAAAGTTCAGAACTCTCTCACGTTATCATATGATGCACATATACCTGGTGCTTCTACATCAGTAGGAGGGCATCGCCGACATTTGGAGGTGGCGGGCTGACCAATTGCACCGCTCATCTTGAGGAAAATAGTCATTACATGGGGTTGCGGTATAGTAGGAAGATAGCACACGAACACGATCGGAAACTCCTTTGCTCCAAGTATTAGGCGTGATATTGTAGGTGCCTGCCAAACGATTGCCAAGCGATATCACAGCCCTTCACAACAATACCCACTGACTTTTCGTATGCCGGTACCGTCGCTCTGTGCTGCTGTTCAATAGCTACGGACTGCCCACGCAGGATTTTAAGAGTATCTAGAAAAAGAATAGGGAGGGGGCACGCAGACCCTATCCCTAACCCTAACCCCAAAGCACGGATTGAATACTTTATCCCATATGTTTGCTTAATCAATTTTGCTGCGTAGACTTGTTCAGAGACGCGGGTACACTTTTGGGTGTAAGCCTTGTACAGGAGTCGAACGATGACTGTGTGTTCTGGGATACACACGAAGGAAAATGAGCGTGAGAACCAAATCTTAACCTTGTTGGCGTTGTCACCCACGCCCGGCGATTGTTGTCGGCAACGGCAGGAACGGCATCATCCCCTCTTGGTGGTCGTAAAAGCCGATCTGCGGTTATATTGTGTAGCACTTTGACCTATTTAGTCAAGACCTATTAATAGTCAAATTAAAGAGATGTCCGACTGTGTTTTCCTTCCTTTTGTGTCTCGAACGAACAGTCTTCGTGACTGCATGTATCCCTACAACAATCCGTATCCGTGCGTCGTCTCTTGGTTCCTGCGGATTCAAAAAATCATTCCACACAGGACATCTTGGAAGGCACGCTCGTGGTGAACACTCCAGAAGCATGGGACTGCAAGTCCGTCAATATCAGGTGAGAAGGAAGGATTGTCGTCCGACCGGCGTTTCGGCCGTTTTCTTTGGGAGAAATTGCGTACCACTCCTCGAGGCCTCGAGGTACCGATTCCCACACGATGTCAAGCATCCATTTCTTTCATGAACGGCGAATGCACGAGCGAGCCTGCCTCCATCAGTGTCCCCGCCCGCCCCGCTGTGTACATTAAGTATGTGAACCACTAGTCGCCTCCCGCACTAACGGCAGCTTCCAAATAGCGCCCATACCTTACGAGTATGCAAAGGGGAAATATTTGTCCCCGCTTAATATT